CCAATCGGGAATTTCAGATCCAATTAAATTCGGCCAACAACTTTTTCCAGCTATATACGAACAGTAAATCTGTCCGATACACCAATAAAGTTTAATTCGACGAAAAGACCAAATGGATAAAATGTTGGCGATCGTTAATGTATAACATTAAGGAGAAACCAAAACGAAGCACCAGCAACGACATCTGTAAACTACGAAACATGAACTGTGAAGATTAAACTTCGCGAGTGGGGCGTGACCGCGTGTCCGTATATGCAAAGAACAAAGAAACAACAAGACTGTTGAAAAAACCACCACTCAGCGACCACATTTCTAGATCTCAGTGTAAAAGAACACAATCACATCAAGAACAATCCGAAAATGAAACGATGAGATAAATTGACGAACCACTGAACAACAATTTGATCAAACACATTCCCAGCTCAAGCGAACAAATTACACGAGAAGAAACGAATAACTCGCACACATACATATAAACACAAATTTCATTTTCCTAAACAGAAAATTAAAAATTATATATTAAAAAAAAAAAAAATCAGAGTTCAACGATCGTGTTGAACGCTTCCAACTCCCGTTTGTTGCCGAGAAACCACGAATGACTTGGAAAGAACGAAAAGTAAAAGGTAATGAAATTTGTACGTATCCTATTTTTAAGTCGCAGCCATGAATAAAGATAAAAGAAAACTCATCTGAACTGCGCCAAAATAATAACGTCGTGCCAAATAAAGTACAAGCCCCCATCTGGCAGTAACAATTAAAAACTCCCACACACAAACAAATAAAAACATCAAAAAAGATAAATCGAATTCCGTTCCTGAAGAACCAGAGGTGTAAAACAGAGTCGGAACACCGACTTAACCAAAATCCATCCACAGATCGGAAGACTAAAACAGAGACGAAAACTCACAGTCGAAGCGATCGGCAGAAGAAGGTAGACAACAACAGCGACGACGGCGATAAAGACGTCCCGGAGCGAAAAAATTGAAGGAAGAAACAGTGGGCGTGCCGGTGGTTGATGGATCAAAAGAGAGAAGAAGAAGAAGAAAATGAAAAGAAAAGGCCGGATTTAGGAAGAAGAAAATGGTATAAATACAGTTTATCCGAAAGAGAAATTGTTATTATTTTTTTGACCATCTCTCCTTTTCCTCGTGGTTTGGTTTCCGAGTGGGAGCAATCGGATTGGATTGCGAAGATTTTCAACTCTCCTCCCCAAATTACCCTATTACCCCTCCCCCACCCTTTTTCTCCATTATTATTTTATTCCTTTTCCATAAGATAATATCCACTTTTTTTCTTTTTTTTTTAATTTAAAAAAAAAAAAAAGGAATTTCAAACTTTAAAAGGTATGAAACGCATTCTCATTTTTTATTGCCCTCATTAATGAATACTTATTATTTCCATTTCTCTCTCAAAATTATAATTAATTTCCTGAAAATATTCACAATATTATTTTTTAAAATTAATTTTAATTTCTTTTATTTAACTATATACGCTAAAAAAAAAGTAAATGGGAAAATGAGAAATGTGAGTGGGCGGCGGGTCTTCATATTTCTTTTTCTTTTTTAATTTTTAATTTTTAATTTTTAATTTTTAATTTTATTTGGTGGTAGGGGCCAATGGGAGCCGCGTAGGTGTTAAATTATTATTTAAAAAAAACATTATCTTCCAATAGTATATTTCCACAACCTTTTTAATTATTTTTAGTTTTAATAAAAACCCATATAATAATAACTGATATTTAGGTCAATCTTGATAAGCTTGTGTTAGGCCACCACTTAAACGTTGCTTTACTTCCCCCAATAAAAAAATAATAATAACTATTATAATAATAAAAATAACATATCAATATTTCAAACACCTTTAAACCTCACTTTTATCTTTAAAATATTATTTAACTTTTAAAAATGTAATAATTCCGTTGAACTTTTTTATAAAAAAAAAATTAAGTTTTAATAATAAAAATAACTTTTTAAAAAAATTAATTATATTTTTTAAACCCCTTTTAAAACAAAATATTAATATTTTCCAATCTAATATTCAAAAATCATTAAATTTTAACTTTTTTTCACAATAATTTTAAAATATAATTGACTGGAAAAAAAATAAATTGAATATAATGATTTTTATAAATAATCTTTTATTTGAAGCGATTCCATTGGACATCAAGAAAATTCTAATAAATGAGACAATATAATGTACTTAAGCTTTTAAGTAATACCATACAAAAATATATATATATATATATATTAAATATTAGATGGTAAGGAATCATGAATACGTGGCATTGTCCCATTCAGAAAAAGTTAAATATATATTTATATTGTAAAGGTATTGACATTATAATTAACTAATTATCTACTTTTTTGTGAATTTTAAAAATAATATAATTAATTTAAAGATTATCTTTGCTTAAAAGAAAAATGGAGTGAAATGTAGAAATGATTACAAACATTTGTTCCATATTAGCCACATCCTCATGCGGAACCCTAACCGACTTTTCAATGTTCCATAATTAAATCACTGTGGCTACATTTCTAAGACTCACAATTTTTTCTCCAATATGCTTCGTAACAATAGTAAATAATATTATTTACTTATATTTCCATAAGTGAAGAATATTTTTTTACCTAGGTAGCTACGATACGAGCTTAGTCATAATAGCTGGATAGCAATGAGATTTGGGGATATTATTGAAATGAAAAGAGGAGGGTAATTAAGTAAAATAACATGAGGATAAGAAGGGTAAGAATTTAAAAGTGGCATCTATGAGTTGTGGTATTTACAAAGACAACTGGAAAACGCAAGGCTCTGCGCAACAAAATAAATTATTTTTTTCTATTATTATTATTATTTTTTAATAATAGTTTTAACTTAATAATTTATAACATTTATATTTAAAATAAAGAAAATTGTTGAAGTTATAATATATTGTGTTTTGAGATGGGAGTTTAATAAAATTATAGGGATAGAAATGGAGAGTGGCAGTTTGGTAAATAAATGGAAGTAAATGACTTTTTATGCTTACGAAGTTTGAGGAAGCTACAGAAGGATAACATCAGCGGGGCAGGGAAATTATAGGCACCTTCGTTCGATAAGCCCTAACAGGCTTTTTTTTTTTTTTTTTTTTTTTCTCCCTACTGGCTCCTGGCTGGCTTTTGGCTGCTGCCATTTTCCTCGTCCCACACACCCTGTACGGAGACTTTTGCCACGTGTAACATGCCTAGAGGATTGGCCCCACATACCTCGTAGACCTAACCAAGCGGGTCCCACTTACCCCCACTCTAGAATCGGGAGGGACGAAGAGAGAGGAGGGGTCCATATCGAAGGGTTTAGGGTAAAATGGACCACAAGTGGACACGTGTAGTCCACGTGAGAAAGTAGTGGCGGGGCCCACTTTATCTTTTTTTTTTTTTTTTAAATGAAAATGTGGTCGAGTTTATCCATTTGCCGCGTTTTACGGGAATACTGAGAGACGGTTGGGTTGGACTTAAACCAACTCGACTATTCTAATTTCTAATTTCTAATTTTAAATAATAAAATAAAATAAAATAAATAAATAAATAAAACTGTGGTTCCTTGTGGTCCCCACGCCTCTGTGGAATGTTCCAAACGTATCTTTCACGCCTACGGTATCCAGATTCTCCGCTTCGTCCTGTTTATTTTCTTTTTTTCCAAATATCTCATATCAAAATAGATATTATATATATATATATATATATCTTTATTTTTCTTTACGCAACAATTTTATTTCATTTTTACGAGAATCTAAATAATAATTTTCTATTTTTTAAAATTGTAAAACTACATTTTTAAACCTCTTTAAAAAATCATTTGGGTTTTGAACATTTAGTTTATTTTTATATTATTATATAAACCTAGTGAAATTTAAAAAATATATATTTTTCATAAATTTTAATTTGTAGTTTGTTTTTTTAGAAAACTCGTATGTAAAAATAATATTTATAAGCTTAATATATTTTTTTGAAATATGTATTTTAATAATATTTAGGTTATTTTATAATATACTCCCACGTTTATTTCAACATCTTCATTGTCCATGGAGTTTGGTTGGTTTTGTATTTTTTTTAAGATTAAACTTATAATTTGACTATTATTTTTAATTTTTTGTTATATTATAATGTTGACTCATATATAATGAATTTTGTATATGAATAATGATTAGGATGTGGAGGCGGTCAAGTGAAAATATGTATATTTGTCACGTTGACTAATAATTTAAATAATATTTATATTCACATAAAGATAGTCAAGATTAACAGTGCTTTCACTCAAATGAGACTAAATAAAATTAAATATATGTTTAGTTCAATAGTAATTAATATTTGCTCATTTTGATGAAAGTCAACTAAAAATGACAAATAATTTTTTTAATAAAACTAATAATTTATGTTTTTTTTTATAAGATAGGTGACAACTTCCAAGCATAAATTAAAAAAAAAAAAAAAAATAATCGACCGTTAAATGCAGTTGATCATTTATACAGAGACATTAGAACCACCAATTTGTAGCACTATTAATTAATATCCCTAAAAGTCCTAAAATCACACCTAACTTAGCTGTTAGGATGTCTAATTGACATTTCGAATGGTGACTAAGCAACAAAGTCAAATAAAGAATGTATTAGTGAAAACCACGAGTAAATTAATTTATAATTTATCAAGTCAAATTAATTGTTCTATTACTATCAACCATCATCATCATCATAATAATAATAATAATAATAAACCACGTGTTTTGTTTCTTTCCCAACCTACCACTCGAGATTCATCCATATCCTTTGAACACGTTTCACAATTTTTAAATCGAGCTTAATTTCCATTTAAAAAACCGCAAAAATGGAAATTGAAATAGGTGCCAGAGACTGAAACAAGAACTGTCCCACCAAAAAACGCGCAAAAAGTTGAACCTTTTTCATTAACAAAAGGGTTGTTTTTTTCTCTCAAATTCACACTAGAAATTTCTAGTGTTTTTTTTTTTTGTTTTTTCAATTTTTATTTATTTATTTTGTGATTATTTCATTATTTTACAGATATTACAGCTTTCTATACCCATATCTATCTACATAGAAATCATGTATTATGGTAAAAACTAAACCAAATACATCATACCCACTTCAAGGGCTGATGAAGAGTGTGATAAACCTACAGGGTAGTCAGCTTCTCTGCTGTTCTTCCTCAAGAACTCGTAAATGAAATCGATCATTACTCTTTTCACTGTGCTCGATCCTTGTTTCGCTTTCATGTGTGACCGTCCTAATATGTAAGCCACTCCTACTTCTCTTGCTTCCATTAGTTCTTGTAGTTCTTCCCTTGTATCCGTGTCGATTTTCGGGCTCTCTGGTACAATGAAGCGTACTCGTTTTCTCAACTGAACTGGAGCTGGTGATCTTATTTCCCTTGTGTCTGAAGCTTTGTACAGATCTTCAGAGCTTTCATCCATAATTGTCTCGGCCATCTGAACTCTATCTTCGGAGGTAGACGATGTCCCGACGACTGTCATCTTTTCACTATGGTTATCAAAGCACTGTCTTGAATCACTACACTCTGCACTCCCTGATCTTATGAACTCTGCTATGCTGCATATAAGATCATTCTCAAACTCTACGTCGTCTTTATGAACGTCCCGATATCCATATCGCACAATGCACCTATACAGTCTATATTCACTTGTACCAATACGACCAATTAGGAACCGTTCCTCTGCTCTAACATGTGGCACTGGGACATATTTAATGCAAAGGAAAACAAGAACTTGATGGAAGGCAGGAATGTTGGTGACAAAGTGGGTGAAGATACCCGGGATTCCCGACACAAGCTCTGTCTGAATGACACCGATCCCACGGACTCTTACAATGCCGAGGCTTGGGCCCAAACCAAGTAGCCAGTTAATAGAAACCTTGTTTTGAATGTCAGATTCAAACTTCTTTAGAGTACCATAGTGCCAGACATACATAACAATCATTAATACAAGAGAAATTGCAATGGGAACCCAAGCTCCTTCAAGAAATTTGATCAGAGAAGCTGAGAAGTAGAGAGATTCAATGGTCCCAAAGAAGAAGATGAAGCCTATGGCAAGAAATACACTTCGATGCCAACACAGGACGATAACAAGAGACATTAAGCACGTAGTAACGAGCATGACAGTGATCACTGCCAAACCTGTCGACGACGTTTAAAAAGAAGAGTTTTAGTTCAGAGAGAAACCAAAAATTATGTGTAATGAACAGAAGCATACCTGAGGCATGACCCAAGCGCTTTGTGTCTCTGAAACTTATGGTAACAGCCAAACACAACAGCATCAAAATCCAATTAATCTCCGGGATATAGATTTGACCGTGAACTTTAGAGGACGTATGGACGATTTTGACTCGAGGAAAGCAACCCAAAGCAGAGCACTGTTTTATAATCGAGAAAGTTCCGGTGATTATAGCTTGGCTTCCTACTACAGCAGCAAGCACAGCAATTATAAGGACAGGCCACCTCAATTTCTCTGAGAATAGAAAACAACATTCAATCACCAATCATTTCTAAATCTCGAGTATATCCGACAAACTTTATGTGGAAACCGATCTTAAGGCCTACCAGGTACAGATACATAAAACCCGATTCGATGGTCGGATGGAGAGGTATAATTTTGAGAAAGATAGGCAGCTTGCCCCATGTATGCTAGGAGGAGAGACGGATAAACCATAAAAGAGAAAGCAATCTGCAAAAGTTTTTGGACAAAATAGAACAAGGAACAAGGAACACTTCAGAAAACCAGAAAACAAACATTAAGATTAGTGACATTATACCGACTTCAGTAAGCATAAATTCTCGCAAAATCCGTGTCAAACATCATTTTTCAAATATGCAGGGTACTATAGAGGCTGTTAGTAGATGATACATATAACCACGCAAAACCTCAGTCAAAGCCTACCACTTGCAGATATTGTCCTCTTTGGGCTTCCCTTCAAGGTTTTTAAAACTTGTCTGCGAGGGAGACTAGGTTTCTACACCCTTATAATGAATGTTTCGTTCCTCTCTCCAACCAACGTGAGATCTCACAATCCACCTTCCTTGGGGGCCGAGCACCCTTGCTAGCACACCGCTCGATGTCTGGCTCTAATACCATTTGTAACAGCCCAAGCCTACCACTAGCAAATATTGTCCTCTTTGGACTTTCATTTTCGGGCTTCTCCTCAAGTTTTTAAAACACGTCTTAGGGAGAGGTTTCCACACCCTTATAATAAATTCTTCATTCCCCTCTCCAACCGATGTGGGATCTCATGGGATTCATAACAAATACATTTGAAGACGAAGGAATTTGGAGAAAGTTAATCATATTTGCCTTGTAAACAGACATGCTAACCAACATGACCTACAAGTCTTTGGATATGCAGCGGTGAAACAAGGAGGCATAGCAGAGATAAACATGGGCTACAACAATATCCCATCGAAGTCTTAAACATGAATGGTGGCAAGACATCCTCCTATAGACCCTCTAATCGAAAGACATACTATCCGAAAGAATTGTCTTTTAAAATTTAGATTGTACCTTAATTGACAACTGTGAAAAATGGCCAAGGTCAGCGAACATTGCCTCCGAACCTGGAAGTGTTAACATATATCCTGATTAATAAGTGACCGACTTTGCTTGAAATTTCATGAGATGATAAACCAAACCAAACCAAATGCATGTCATTTACCAGTAATGCACAGCATAATTCCACCAAGTGACATCCAGCCTCCCTTTTGTGTTTTCTTAAGAAATCGAAACATGTAAGTAGGAGAAATTGCTCTATAAACACTGGGATTCCAGTGAATAATATTGTACAAGCCAATGGCACTGATACAGAATAGCCACACTGTCACTATTGGAGCAAACAAGAAGCCAATCCTGTGCGTGCCGTAGTGTTGAAGAGCAAACAAGCATATCAGTATGACGCATGAAATCGGGATTATTATATCTGCAGGAACATCAATTTTCATGAGAGACTACTCCTACAGATTCCAAAAGTTTACAGCAGAATGCAAAACTGGAAGAACAAACCGATGGGTCGGGGTACTGGTTGAACAAGAACTAACAAAATATAGTCAAGCAAAGTTCAACAGCCTGTCTTATTTTCTACCAAATCTACCATGAAATTCTTCCACAACCACATCAAAAAAGCCAAAAACTCCTTTAAGCAAATGGGAGAGGTCAAATAGCTACCGCCCCGCTCACCCACACTTAATTTTCAACCTTATTCCTACACAGCTGTTCAAAATTATTCATCATTTAAGTCATTTTCCTCACTTCTTCCTCCACAGTCTCCCCCTTCTCAAACACTACCCTCCCACAGTCATATAAGTAGTGGCATGCTATGTCCTATCTAAACAATTTACAATTCAATGCAATAGATAGCAACTTGGGATGAGACTTGTTGAGGGTCTTCCAAGTACAGCATAGCAATCAGTATTGTTGACAACTGTTCATGATGATTGATAGCAATCGATAGTGACCTCTCATTCATATGAAGACAAGTGAAGTTGAAAGCTCAAAAGAACATTTCTAAACAACAGCTAAAAGTTTGGACAACAATGGGTAGATTTAAGTTCATGGCAATTCACTTCTTACTTTAACCTCCTCCTCCTCCACCTCCACCGGAAAACACTGGAAATTTTCTACTTCCAGTCATCAGAACACAAACAAGTCAATTTCCAATGAAAAATGAACAAGTGTAGATTCTTACATTGGTGATGCTCTATCTTCATGGTATGCTCGAGGCCAGAAACCGCAGAAAGAACTGACAGGGGAAGTTAAATCAAGAAAGGAATGATGAACAAACATCCAAATCAAAACAGAAACTGAAACAATGATATAAAAGTTAGCGAGGATTACCAGAAATAGCTGGTGTTAAGATGCCATCTCCTATCACCATGCAAGCCCCAATTAAAGCAAGAACGAGCAAGAATTTTTGCAGAACCTGACGCTTTTCCAAGGCAGATTTGAGTTTGAATCCAAAACTTTCTTGAGATGGCGGACCAAGAACATCCATCTTGAAATCAGTGAGTTCAGAATCAGCCAACTGGGTATTGGGTAATGCGTTAACTCTGGCATGCCGACATAGTAACGAATACAGAGCAAATGTCCCTCCCTCGCCATTATCATCGGCTTTAAGAACGATAAATATGTACTTGAGCAAAGGAACAATGGTGAGGGTCCAAAAAACAAAGGACAAAACGCCATAAATCTCATCGTTGCTCTTCGAATGACCGATATCTTCTTCTGCAAAAGTGTTCTTATAGACATACAGAGGCGAAGTACCCAACTCGCCATAGACAACCCCAAGACTCTGATAAGCCATCATCAAAACCGCCTTCCATGACTCTTTCTAGAAACGAAAACAGTGAAATCGACATGGGTTTTAAGCGAAATCGCTCAAAAGAGATGGAAATTAAGGGCTCGAAGTTAAATGCATGCTACACAATGTATTGGACTTACCTTGGCATTCTTTTCACTACGAACCCCACTTTCCAGATCCATAATCAAAAGGGTCAAGTTTTCAAAAGATGAACAGAACCATTTTCTACTCCAAACTCAAATCTCTTCAAGACACCGCCCACAGACCGCTTTTAGAGGCAACGAAGAAGACGGATTGAGAAATAAAAGTATATTAAAATCCCATATCAAGAGAAAAGGGAGTTTTATTATTCAAATACGACGACTTCGCAGATCCACGATGAGTTGCTTAAGAATGCCAGTTACTCAAGAAACCCATTTTTTAATTAAACAAATTCAACAAAACTCAATCAAAACGAAAATGCAAAACACCCTTTGGTAGTTTGGAGCAAATACGTGAATATGCTAACAAGTAACAACCCAAAAGTCTTTGCAAACAAAACGAGAAATACACAAACACAAATATTTTAAATATACGTGTCTCCCTGTTAGTGTGTGATCAGAGAAGGAAAGGGATGTATGGAAAGAACGAACACCAAAGGCCACACCAAGAAGGAAAAATAAAAAAAACCCTTTGAAAATCAGTGAGAATATTTTTCATAATCATTCAGAAAGGGACTGAGAAATGAGGAAATCAAGAGAAGAAGCTTCTGGGGTTAATCCTAAACTTCACTTTATGTAAGAAAATGAAATTTGCAGTGTAAAGCAACAACACCCACTTGAGATTTTCAGAGCTAAAGAGTTCAAAGAGGCAAAAATGGAAGAAGAAACCTCTATTCTTTAACGCTGCTCTGCAGAATTTGCGAAGAAGAAGATGAAGAATTAGGAGTACATTCCTTTTTGTCTGATTTTGGAGAACAGATGCCATTCAAAATTTGCAGTAAGTCCCGCTTGTTGACCAGAGAAATTAAACTCGGTGAATTTGGGGATAGTTGACTCATCGTGATCATGACGCAACTGACATGAAAACGCTGCACACAACCAAGCCAAATTCCCAACCACCGATTGAGACTGCGTGGATATTCATCCTCTCCACGGGAAGAACAGTTCAGATTTCACGAAAATAGATTTAAAATTTTGACTGAAGGGGTTACAAACAGAGCAGATTCATGACTTGAATATGTTATGGAGAGCAATTGTAAGAAAATGTGATCAGTTCTTGGGTTTTGCTCAAGTTGGGGAAATTTGGTTGAATTTATATGAAGAACAAAGCGAAATTTGGATGCATCCATGTTTTATGGAATCCCTTTCAAGCAAAAAACTCATTCAGTTTTGGATTTTTGCTATGAAACCTCATTTTTTGGGGAAGAAATCCATCCCCTTTGATTTATTTTTTTAATGATCAAAATTAATTTGAGAGAAAAAAAAAACATACAAATTTGCTAATTTGGCAACCAATCTGAAAACAAAAATTTGAAATCCAAGAATTCAAAAAAATTAATTATAATTACAAAATTAAATTAAGCAAAGGTTTACACTCTTACAAAAATGGTTTTGTTTCCTGGTCCAATGTGTGATCTCACAACCCACCCCACAAAGGCCCAACATTCTCGATAGTACATGACTCGTTGTTTGGCTCTAATACCATTTGTCTAACTGATGTACAATCTCACAATCCACTCTTTAAAGACTCAGTGTTCTCGCTGACACACCGCTCAGTGTCGGACTCTAATACCATTTGTAATAGTTCAAGCCTACTATCAAATTAAAGTATATATTTGTTAGGGTAAAGTTTCCCTATCCTTTAAAAAAAAATATATATTTTCTTTCCTTCTCCTCTCACAAAAAAAAAAAAAAAAAAAAAAAAAAAAAAAAAAAAAAAAAAAAAAAAAAAAAAAAAAAAAAAAAAAAAAAAAAAAAAAAAAAA